TCTCCATTATTAGATCTTAATTCCAGCATCACTTTACCCCCTTTTTGCACAACAATTAAAGGTTAAACAACTGTAAATCAGGGAAGGAGGTGAAATTGAAGCTTTCTTGGTAGCAGCACTCAGGAGCAGGGTTTTTATGTAATCAGGGTAGAAGCTGGCACTTCTGCCATGAATTATTCATTCCCGGAGCAAACCTTCCTGAGTGAATTAATTTATACACGTGGCAGTAAATAGATGCAGATCCCTTGTGAATCCACATGTCAGACTCGAATTAGGACCTTAAAAATGTTTATTCCGTTAAGCTGGCGGAGGGGGGCAGAGAGGAGAATAAATAATTTAGGCGGTGTAAGAGCAAACAAAACGCTCATTCTCACTCCGCTTCCAATAATGTAAATCACGATAGGGGCGTAATGAGGCAGGAAAAAAGGGAAAAAAGGGTCAGTGATGGCTCCGTGGGGGTCACTGAGATTCCTGCTGGGTGAACTCCGCTCACTTTCTGCTAAAAAAAAAATATTTGGGAGGAACTTTACAGCCGGTTTTATTACCTGGAGTAAATCAAGGAGGAAATGGGTTTCAATGGCTGGAGGGGGGGGGGTTGATTTTGTTTTTATTGTTGATTATTTTATTTTATTTTGGTTTTATTATTTATTTTCAAATGGAGGGTTTTGATTTGATGTGCAGCAAGGCAGAGGTAAGTGGGGAATTGGGGTGGATGAGGAAATAAGGAAATTAGATTTGGGGAGAAAGGGAGAAGGTTCACACGTGTGTAGTCAAAGTTTGAGGGCAGTGAAATCTCCTCACTGCTCATTTTTCCCAATTTTCCAGCACTCTCCTTGTTTGGAGCCAAGCTGTACAACTCATTTATGCTCCTGATTTATCTTTAAGATTCCTTTTGGATTGGTTTTTTGTTTTTTTGCCTGCCAGTTTAATTTGAGATACCCAAAGTTGCAAAATCTCATCCAGACCTTCCAGCTTAAATCTGAATTTTCCCCAAAACAGGTGGTTTTTACCCAGATTTTCTGCCTCACTCTCACCCCATTCACCAAACTCGGGTTTTTAATGGGACACTGAAAGCTTTGAACCATCAGCATTTAGGATTTAGGCAAAATCCCTGTTAATGGTAAACAAAGCTGAGCAATTCCTTGGAGATCCTCACTCAAGCACGAGCTGCTTTTCGGTATAAATGCAGATTTTTCAGCTCTGCTTTTCAGTATAAATGCAGATTTCTGAGCTCTGCTTTTCTGTATAAATGCAGATTTCTCAGCTCTGCTTTTCTGTATAAATGCAGATTTCTCAGCTCTCCTGATGTTTCTCATCCAAGGATTTGTGTTGATGTTCCAGCTAATGGAGCCAAGTGACTTCCTAAGGCCTCCAAACCTTGTGGGGCATGGCAGGGAAAGGTGAAATCTGAAAATGCACTCGGGTGATCCCACTAAAAAGCTGAGGAACAAGGCTGGAACTTGATTGGATTTTTAAAATCCTGTTGTTTAACGTGAGGTGGTTTTTGGGTTTATTTTATCTCTGAGTTGCTGCTGGTTGCTCTCATTTGAAAGGGCTCAAAGTCTTCAGGGATTTCTCTAAATAGGGGGGAAAAAAGCTGGGATTTTCAGCAGCTGTAAATGAGCTGGGCAGTTCCAGGAGCTCTGGAACAGCAGCAGAAAATAACATTTCTATTTGGAAGTTTGGGGGAAAATAGCTGGAAAATCCCAGTGGGAATGGTCAAAGGCAGAATTCTCCAAGTTTTGCCAGTGTTGAACCCCCAGAGTGTGTAAACTCAATTAGTGACCCTTTAATTGCTGTTAATTTGATTTATTCCTATTATTTCATTTTTTTTTTGTTTTGTTTTGTTTCTCTCTGCAGATCCAGGTGATCAGTTTTGTCACAGAGCAGAACTGGGATTCCCTGGAAGTGTTTGATGGAGGAGACAACACAGCCACCATGCTGGGCAGCTTCTCTGGTACGTGGCCCTCGAGCCCATCAGTTCCTGCCTCACTTCATTCACCTCACAGAATTAAACTTTAATAAAAGCATCAAAAGCCAGGAATGGATTTCAAGGGAATCATGTGCTCCGTTGGGTTGGGAATTTCAGCTCCATCTGCGTGTGGGAAGGGTTGAGAGGGAGCCTCAAACACAAAAGCAGTGGGGTTTTATTCCTGGAAATGGGAATTCCCTCAGCTCTGCTGGGATGTGAGGCCACCACACCTGGCAGGGTGACCTGACCTTGGTGTCCCCCAGAAAGGGTGAAGGGCAAAACAAACTGCAAAACAAACTCTATTTTTCCTTGGAATTCTTGTATTTCCTTTGGAATCTTTATGTTTTTCCTTGAATTGTGGCTTCTGGCAGAGCAGCGAGGAGCTTTGAGAAGCTCTCAAATTCAGCACCACTGGCAGAACAATGGCCCAAAACCTCATTTATTTATCAAATGTGCCCAAAATGCCCTGAGCTAGGCAGGAGAAGGGTCTGGGATGGAGCTGCCTTGTCCTGCTGCTGCAGCAGCTTCCAGGGGATGAAGGAATCCCAAATTTTCCCAAATTTTCCTGAATTTTCCCAGATTTTCCCAGACCTGTGCTCCACTCACGCTGTTTCCCATCCCTTGGTGCTTTTTGTCTGTCGGTGGCCAAGCTCGAGGGGCTGAAATCCAGGAAAGGATTTCAGGAAAGGCCCTGGGTATTTCTCAATTGGCCTCGTTAGAAAGAACCTGATCATTTTAAAAGTTTGATAGGAAATGTAATATCAAATATTAAAATGATATTTTATATCATTGTTTTATTATCATATATTTTATATATTATAATAAAATATATT